AGTGAGATGTGACCCCCTCCCTTAAAGGTGCTCAAAACCTAGTAACAGAGGCAGTTTCCAAAGCTGTGGGGAAAGCACAGTGTTATATCCTGGGAAGACAAGGAGGGCTTCCTGGAGGAGGTGATGTCTAATCTGTCTCTCAAGTATGGGGGTGAAGTTAACGGGCTTATTTCATTTAAACTTCACAACAGCCCAGCTAAGTCAATGGTATCCCCAGCTTGTTGTGGAGGAAACCAAGGCTCGGGGACAAAGAAGTAAAGCCAGAATTTTTTTCATTCATTTGTTCAATCCTTCCTTTATCCAATAAACATTACCATCTGGCTACTGGGTGCTGCTCGATGTGGCCAAAAGGGCTTCTAGTTTCCCTTTAAACCCTCTCAGCTCTGCGGTGACACCCACTGCTCCCCAAGTCTCTGCCATCCCTTACTGAGCCCTGCGGGGTTTCCCTCATGTGATGGCCCCCTCCCCACCAACCCCATCAGAGGGGATCCATTTGTTCATCTCGGCCGGCCTCCAACCCCAGGACGGGTGTGGGAGCTCCTCCCTGCCTGAGGTCCAGACCCCCTTGGGTCTACAGCTGCCCTGGGCAGCTGAACCAAATCCATGTGCCCATATCTGGGGCACGTCCACTGTCAGGCAGGACGCTGGGGAACCAGGATGTGGGCAGCGCAGAAGGTTCTGTCCCTGAGAAGCCTGGGTGGTTGTGAAGCTGGGTGGGCTTGGATCCCACTTGGCCCCTGTTCCTTCTCCAGAGCCACTCAGCTGGCGCTTCTAGCACTGGGACCCCCTTGTTGGACCACACCCTCTGATGATGGAGCTGGGGTCCCACCAAGGAACACCCAAAGGCCATCTTCTCTTTTCTTTCCCTGCAAGCTCGATGGTGGCCCTAATTATTAGCAACCCTAGTGGTTCCCCTTTCTATCACCAGTCCTTTGGTGGGAAGGGAAATACTCACCTCCCCCCGCAACCCAGACTGAATCTTAACGCAGTGAAGAAAAGGAAAAGAAACAGAGTTAAATTTCCATGTTAAAATGGGCCTACCCTTCATATCCCCCTAGATTTCCTCACTGGCCCTTCTCTCCAGCCTCAACACATCCTAACCTGACCCAGCAACCACCCAGGACCAGCTCTGGCCCTTCCAGAGCATGTCCTCTGCCAGGGAAACCCCACTCCAGCCCTCAGATCAGGACTGAGCCTTGGTGACCTAGCAGAAGGAAAGACAATGGTGGTCTCTGTTCTCAAGGCAAGCTCATCCAATTTAAAGCCTCTTCTTTATCCTGAGCTGGTCTTTCCTATCTGAGTGTATGTGTGTGTGTGGTAAAATGTCCTTTCTTTTATGAAGTCACAGTAATAGTAAGTAGTATTTTTTAAAAGTCACTACTTGATAGAATTAAGATCTGGCAGCTCTGTGTCTGTTCCTCAAGGTTAAGGAGTCATAGCTGGGTGATGGGCATACGTGTGCTCACTAATACTTTTCTCTCTACTGTTGAGTACGTGTGAAATTTTTCATATAATTTTTTTAAAAGTCTAGATGGGTTGAAAATTGAAATATTAAAAATTAAATTACAAAGGGATTAGGGAGAAAAAGAGGAAGGTGGCAATTTGAGAAATCTAGAAGTTTTATGACGGTGAGGCCACTGCAGAGCTTTTGAAGTCACTCTCCTCCTTAAAGCCTGTCAATGGCTCCCCATGGTCCTCAGGAGATACGCTCAACTCAGATGCCTCCTCCTCCAGGAAGTTCTCCCTGACGTCAACCCTTCTGGTTAGGCTAGGAGCTTATCATAATTGGAGACTTTGGGTGCCCACTTATGTTGGACGAGGTACTGCGTTATTTCTTTTCTTTTTAATATTTATTTATTTGGCTGCGCCAGGTCTTAGTTGAGGCACCTGGGATCTTCCTTGCGGCATGTGGGATCTTTAGCTGCGGCACGCAGGATCTAGTTCCCCGACGAGGGATTGAACCTGGGCCCCCTGCATTGGGAGTGTGGAGCCTTAACCACTGGACCACCAGGGAAGTCCCTGCATTATTTCCTTTAATTATAGTGCACATGGCTCTGTGACCCACCTCAGTCTGGGATGGAGGAGCCTGAAGCAGATACCGGCAAGTCCTTTGATGATGAATGAGTAAAGGGATGCACGGATCAGTGGGTGGCTGGGCCACCTCCTCCCCAGGAGGGCTGGTGCCCCTCCTGCCCACACACTCAGAGGTGTCCCTCTGAGGCACCGCCCCCTGTCATCAACAACACTGACTTGTGCCAGAGGACCAGAATTGGGACACGGACAGGCAAGAGAGAGACCAGATTGAATAGGACGAAGGCTTTGTGCTGGATTACTTGGAAAGGAAAGGCAGGAGATAGGTAGGCTTAAGACTTCCTCACCAGACAAAAGGTAGCCATTGGAAGAACAAGGCGGGCCCAGCTGCAGGGAAGGGTCACATGAAAGAGCATTGTCAGAGCATCGGTCAGTCAGAAAGACCAGGAGGTCTTTAAAAAGAATTTGTAATGAAATTAACAATGAATTACTGAGCATCTACTGTGTGCTAAGTACTAGGTACTGTAGTACAGCAGTGAATAAAACAAAAACTAACCTCAAGAAGCTTTTAGCCCAATGGATCTAGAAACAGAAAGTTCAGTTTTCAGTCCTGCTCAAGAGCACAGGGTTCATCTCATATTTAATGTTATTTAAAGCATCACATTGTATAGAGTGCTTTTACTGTCCCGGGGTTCCCTGCAGCCTCTCCCCTGCTCCTAGGTCCAGTCGCTAGGCACTGCCCCTCTGGTCCTATGCTACTGCTATAGCACAGCCTTGCTGTTCTTAATCCAAACAATCCTTTCTAAAGCATGGCCAGCCCTGAATTCGCCCTTCTGTTGCTCCGAAGCTTTTCCTGGCCCTCACTGTCTGAGGATGAACCCCAAGTTCCTTTGTGTATCCTCCAAAGCTGCTATGAGTCCCTCCCATTGTTTTCCCCCCAGACCTGTGATCACCACGACCTGGTCCTCCAACAGTTGTGCCTCCCCCAACCATGCTTCTGCAGTTCCCTCTGCTGGGTATGCCTGCCTCTGCCCCACCCCGGGCTATCTGTATGTATGTCCCGCTCCCTAACCCTCTGCACCAAGCATGTCTTCTGAACTGGTTTCAATCTTGACTGTGTTCTTCACTAGCTGTGTGGCTTGGGCAAGGCTCTGAGCCTCTTCCGAACAGTAGAATCAAGGCAAGTAACATCTGCCCTTGGTTGCTGCCTTCCTAGAGGCCCAGTGCCCTTCAGGGCATGGATACAGGCGGGTAGGTATTATCACCAGTACTTTACAGACAAGACCTGGAGATTCAGAGGGGCACTGATCACCCAGCCAAGGTCACTCAGCCAATACGGGTGTCTAAATGCTTTCTGGGTCTCAGTTAACTAACATGTAATGTTGGGATGATAATCTACAAGCAATGAACTCCTTCTAGATTCTGCTTCTAGCCACAGGCTCGCTGAAAGGGGTGAGCTGGGGCAGAGGCATGTTTGCACCAGAGACCCAGCTCCCCAGGTGCTGGGGTTGACCCAGTTCAAGCTGAGCTCCATTCTCCCTGCCATTTGGCACGGGGGCTCAGAGAGTCTGAGTCAGGGAGGTGGAGGGCCAGCTGGGGCGGGTGCATAGGGGTGCAGCGGGATGCTGAGCATTGGGAAGGCAGCCCAGGGGCCAACTCCAATGGTCCTGCCATCCCGCTACCCCCAGGGGCCAAGCTCTGTCACTTTTCTCAGGCCTGGCCTCTGGGAGACAGCCTGGGGAATCCCCGCAGGGAGCCTGCCTCCTGTCGTTGAGGTGGAGTGGTCATCTCTGACCAAGCCAGTGCCCCCAGGGAAACCTGCCATTCTCCCTGCACGGGGTCCTCTTTACGACTCCAGGCCCGGCACCCATCTGAGCATTGGGACTGTTGGTTTCCCCCGGGGCGTCACCTCTCCCACCACAACCCAACCTGCTCCAAAGCCCCATCCTGGGGTCTCGGGTCTCTCTCCCTGCCACCCAGACCTAAGCCCACGGTTCTGTTCTCCCTGTCCCGTGGGTGAAAATGTAACCTGCTCAGGAAGACCCCGACCACTCTGCGGTCTGCTTTACTTACCTGGTGTTGCCCAGGTGGAGTCTGACGTCTCCCACAGACGTCAAAGCCGGGACCGTCTGCTCCCTGCACACCCCCGCAGGCTGGGCACAGACCAAGTGCCCACTAGATTCGAAGAAGCTCCTGCGTAAATCCTTCCGCGGGGCAAAACAAAGACCCCCGCGTCTCTGCACTTCTCCCTCACGGAACTGGACGCACAGATTGGGACACCTGGCCCCTCACCTTGCCCCTGTAACTCCTGGTACTGCCGCCCCCTTTGAGAACAAAGTGACCATCACCGACGGGCGACCCCCTCAACCTTTATAAAATTCAGCCGTGGAGAATGCGGGCGTCGATCCCGCTACCTCTCACATGCTAAGCGAGCGCTCTACCATTTGAGCTAATTCCCCAGCTCGGAAAAGCTTCCGCCGCCGAAACACATTGTGGCTCACGTCATCACCCGTTTCCTCCAGGCCCTCCGACCCGCCTGCCCGCCGGTCTCGCTACCCCATTGGTTCTCTTGCAGCTCCCAGAGCTACGGCCATGATTGGTTTGGCTCAATTTAGTTTTAAAAAGCATTGGCTATCGGATTGGTGGTCCGAAACGTCCGTCAAGCGGAGGCCCTGCTGTTGCTACGGCGTAGGGGGACCCAGCCAGGTTTCTCTCGGTTTCTGATTTGTTTCTCCAGACTCCGGGGTCCTAGAGGTTCCGGATCCGTCAAGTCCATGGGAAAAGAATGCGCCCCTCGCACTTGACGGACGGGGCCTGCGAGCCAATCGGAGTGGGTGCAACGGGGCAGCAGTGTGACCCAATAGGTTGCAGGGGGAGGGAGAGGGAGGCCAATGAGCGTGGAGCCGGGGGCGGGGGCAGGGCCTTGATTGGTCGCGAGGCGGCTGGAGGGAGGGCGGGGGGAACTCAAGGCCTGCTTGATACGTCCGCCATTTTGGGCGCTTCGCTGATGGTGTCGGTGAGCGCGTTTCCCGCCTGAGCGCAACTAGCGGCGAGTCGCGGGCACCTCCAGGTAATGGGGGGAGGGGGCGGCGGAGCGGGCCGCGGCGCGGGGTGCGCGGGGTGCGCGGCGCGTGGGCGGCGGCGGGGCCACTCAGCCCGGCCTCGGCGGCTCGGGGAGGGAGCGTCCCGGCCCCCTCCCCTCCCCCCCGGAATTCGCCGCTGGGCGGCCGGGGAGGCGCGGCGCCCGGGCTCCCCGGCTCGTCCCCGCCCGCGCCTGTCAGCCGCTTGCTCGCCCGCCGCAGGCCGCGGGGGCCCCGCCGGGCCGGGCGGCTGGGTGGGTCGCGGGCCGGGCGGCGAACTTTGAGCCCGCGTTGACGTCCGCGGCCTGGCGCGGCGGCCGGGCGCGCCCCTAACCCGGCCGGGCCCCGCTCCGCTCCGGCCTTTCCGCCCCGAGCGCCGTCCGCTGCCCGCGGGCCCCGGAGCGCGGAGCGTGTCAAGTTGAGGCGGCGGCTCGCCGGAGACTCGCGAAGGCCATTGTTGGACGCGGTTCTCCGGGAAACAAGTTCTGTGGGTTTCTGCTCCTTCGCCGTAGAGTCTTCGGGATACGCAGAGCCCGGCTCGGAGCGTTTAAACCTCCTTCCGAGCGATTTGCTAACTCCGGTGTTGCGACTCCAGCGCAGACCTGGTCGCGAAAGCCTCCCTGGCGCAAATGCACTAGGGGGGTGGTCCTTCTTTCGGCCGCAAGTACCTCCCTCTTAAAGAAGCCCTCTCGCCGTTCCCTCGGAGGGGCTTCCTCCCGGTCCTACTTGCCCTGATCACAACTTGGACTCTTGGTTGTAGGTGGACGGAATGAGTCCTTGGATGTACCTGTGTGTCCTGACGTTTCAACCTCGGAGCTTCGTGTAATTTTCTCGGTACTTCACCATTTTCTCTGTGGGTCGGATAGAGCTTTATGTTTTGCTTTTCTGGGAGGGGCGCTTGGGAGTTGTTTCCTTTCATCCTCACAGCACTTAATGTTAATGTGGCTGTTTTGTTAATGTGGAGTTGACTGCGATTATGTCCTCAAGGTCACGTTGTAGGTAGGCAGCAAGTGGGAAAGAGACTCCAGATTTCCAGCCACTGGAAAGTCTCCTAAGCGGTGATAGTTGTGGAGCTTTCTTTGCTCTCGGGTTAGACTGCCTGGTTTCAGGTCTCAGCTTCACCACTTTCTAGCCCTGTGACCTTGGGCAGGTTACCCAAACTCCCTGCTCCTTCTGTGATACGGGAATAGCAACAGCGTCTCCCTCCTTAAGTTTGTCGGGAGGAAAGGAGTTAATACGCGTAAAGCAGCTAGAAACGGTGCCTGGCGCGAAGAATACGCTGAGTAATTAGTGGCCATTATTAATTTAAATTTGATTTTTAAATGTTTAGATACTATTAGGAAGTCACATGAGTGTTTAAGTCCTGGCTTTTGGTGTCTGTCTTTAGAAAGCTCTGTGTGTTTAAGAGTCATTTGGCCTGAGAACCACCCAGGAGAAGGGGTGGTTGAAGATTGATTAAATTACAAACGTTTTTTGGAGTAATTAGTGGTGGTGCCTCGGAATGGTTTAAGAGATGGTTAAATAAAGAAAAGGCCATCGGGAGCTCAAGTCGGATTGTGTTCCTACCGTACTTTTTGGATACTGCGTATTGAGTGTGATTGGCCCCCAATAGTTCTAGAGTTTCTTAGTGTACTCCTGGGTTTTACTGAGATGTGAAAGCTTGCTGTGTATTGAGACACACTTCAGTGAGGGTAGTTTGGGAAATAGCTGTTGTCCTGGATGGATGTTTTGCATTTCAGTGTGTTTGATCAGAGTCTAGAGTATCTAACAGAATGCCACGCACTCGCTCACACATATACTTACAGTCTTGATTCTTGCCCCCTGCTCTTCTGCCTGGCACTTGAAACCATGCTTGCCTTTCCGCAGGAATTACTTGCTTGGGCCTTGGCTTGCTTCGTTGCACTTGGGGAAGTGTTATTTTGATAGACTTGGTCTTAAGTACAGATGAGCATCTCGCTGGTTTAACTTACTGAGGAACAGGAAGAAGATTGTTTTAGATTAGAAAACTAGCCTTTGTGTAAAGTATAGCAAAACAAAAACTTGCTGGTTTCAATTAACTGCTTGGGAATTTGAGAATCGGATCATAACTGGACAGAAAATGAATAGTGATAAAATTAAGCCTTGACTGGGTGAGGTTTGCTTAGCCTCTTTAAAGTAAATTTTTGCATTGATTTGGTACAAAGATAATGTGCTTGTTACAGATGAGACATCTTCCTTAAAACAGTATTGGTCAGGATTGGAATTTAGTTTGCTTCTTTGATAAACTTGTATCTTGGGGTTTTATATTTTGGATATTTGAGAGGCAGCCTGAGTGTGTATATTGGTCTAAAATTTTACAGTGCTTTATTACCCTTAAGAAGAATGACAGCGAAGTTCTTCTAACCGTCTGCTCAGCTAAAACTCAGCTCAGAGTTTATTTCATAAAAAGCACAAGAGGCTGTGGTTGCTCCTCCTCATAAGTCAAGATCTGAGCCCTGGTGTGAGCCGAGGATTCGCTACTTTTTCTTAGGTGAGATGGATAGAAAAAAATAGACCTGGCCTCTTGGCTTTAAAAAGCTTTCTTATCTCTCCTTTCTTAAGAGAACCTCAAATGGTTGGTTTTTGATTTACTCTACATCAGTGGTTCTCAACTGGAGGATGATTTTGCCCCAAAGAAACATTTGGCAATGTCTGGAGACGTTTTTGCTTGTCACATCTGTGGGGTTGGGCAGTGTACTATTGACTTCTAGAGGGTAGAGACCAAGGATGCTGCTAAACATCCTATGGTGCACAAGATGGCAACCCTCTCCCCCCAATAAAAAATTATCCAGCCCCAAATATCAGTGGTGCTGAGGTTGAGAAACCCTGCTCTAGATAGATGGCCTAATCTGGCCTGCATTGGAATCATTTGGGATACTTTTTAAGCCCATGGGTGATGAACTCCACCTCTAGAAACGTGTGGTGAGAGTGAGAATATGTTTTTAAAAGCTCCTCAAGTAGCACTGAAGTGCAGCTAGGTTTTGGAACCACTCTTCTAGACCACAGATTTTAGGGACTGCTTGTGGGTCAAGGAATTCTTTGTGTCATCTGTGAGCTCTACCTATACCTAGATCCTACCTTGGACATTACTTAGTGGGGAAAGATGGTGTACGTACGTTATTTTCAGGTGCTGAACTTTAAAGGAGACTGAACTTTAAAAACATTTTTTTAAGTGAATTTATTTTATAAAATAATTGAGAAACTGTTTTTTTTTTCCTGTTGCTTCATGAGAATCTATTGCCGTAGCTGAAACTTAGTGCTCTCAGGTGTTCAGGATTGTTTGTGCCTATGCTAAATAACCTTATCCTACTGTGATTTTTGAGTTTTGTATCTTTTGCCCTCATCCTGTCAGTCAGCTGTCAGTTCTGTTTTTAGATGCCAGCTTCATCATTATCTTTTTTTTTTTTTTTAAATGAAAGCCTATTTCCAGAGAGTTAGCCCTGGATTGATTTGCCATTTCTGCCCTTTGAAGGCAAGAGAGAGGCAAACTCTATGATTATTGTTTAACACAGTGACCCTTGCTTGCTAGCAAAGGGGGATTGCCTGTGCCCTGGACTCTGACCCAAGTGGGTGAGTGTTTTTCCTCCTGGGGAGGTGAGGTACAGTAGAAGAGAGACCGGCAGAGATCCTTTACTCACACACACTTAGAATATGCATGATCTAGTTTATTGAGTGGAAGAATGTTAGTATGAAAATTGTAGAGATTTTCACCAACCAAATGTTAAAAATCTCGACATATAAAAGGGAGGAGATCAGGGAGGCACTTTCTAATCCTTCATCCTGAAATCAGGCCTGTGGCTATGCTGAGAATGACAAGTGACCACTCCTCCTGTCTGCTTCTTCTAGTCGTCATTTATTTGGTCAGCAAATATATTGAATCCTTACCCTGTCAGGAACTGTATTAGGGATTCAGTCGTGAACAGGCATTTAAGACTCGCAGTCTATGGGGAGAGGCGGCATTGACAAAAGAGATGTCCTTTTGGCTGTGAGGCCAGAGAACACAGCTTGTTAGACTTGTGTGTGGTGTAAATAGCAGACTCTTAATGAGAGGCCCTAGAGACTTGAGAGGAAAGAGCTTGTGTTTGCTGGTTGGGTGGCTGAGACTGCCAGAAGTCTCTTGCCAAAAAATAAAATACTTACACCTTTGTTTCTCATATGTATTGAATAGTTACTTCCACTTTCCTCCTTGGTTTGGTGTGTCTAAGCAGTGCCACTCTTCCCATGCTGGTGAAGCTGCTTTGCAGTGACAAATAGGATTGACCTGTATTGTCTTTTGCTCCATAGATGTTGGTTGCAACATCTTGATCAGACTTGAAACACTGACTGTTCCCATACTGATCAGAGGCTTGGTGTAGGTTCATGCTAAACATCTTGAGCATCCTTGAAATCCATGGTGCTTCCAGTGGGAATGGGTTTTTTCCTGCTGCAGTCTGGATCGAGGTTGACTGTAGATTTGACTTTGACTTTGGCTTACATTTAGTTGCCACGGAAACCCCCTTTCCTTCTCCCTCCCCCTTTATTTTTCTTTACTGGGGGGGGAGAGAGAGTTACTAGTCAATGCCCAGTTTCAGGTTTTGAATGATTATGAACTGACATCTGGGTACCAGGTAGACTGGCTAGACGGTAAAGAAGCAAGTAAAAGGGAATCTTGGCAGTACTCGAAAGGCTTCTTAACCTTAACTAGGACATTTTTGTGTCACAGACTTTGCAAAGATCTGGGGTTACTCTGAGTAGAGGAGGTTTACTACTTCTCACTTCTGCTGGCTAGTGTTGATCTGTTTTATTAAGTATTAGTGAAGACTACACAATCGACTGATTTTATACAAATAAAGTTTGATAGGTTCTGAACATCTTTTTACTGATATAAGGAGACTCTGATTTTGTATTTCTCAACAACTCTGGAGAAAACTAGGGTATTATTAATTCCAAAATATCTTACAGCGGGAATATGTATTGACTTGGAATGGTTTGTGTACACCAGATGCTGACTGCCCTGAAATCTGGTGGCCCAAAGGAAAGATGAATGAGATTGTTTTTTGAAACATTAGGCAGCCGAACTAAAAAGGCGGCAATAAATAAATAAGTAAAAGCAAGCAAGCCTGCAGAAGTAAAAGTATGACTGAATGTTGAGTCAGACTTGGAGAAAGCTGTGTGGATTGCTAGTGGGAGCCTGGAGTTCCCTGGACCTGGATGTAAATCTGAACAATAATGCTGGTGTCAACAGTAATGCGACACACTGACAAGGAGAGAAAGGGGAGCTTGCTTGAGAATGCATGGCCCTCTGAGACCCTATCAGGGTGAGTAGGCCGCAGTTACACTAGCCACTAAGGCACCCTCCGGGGTGGCCTCCTCTATCCCGTAAGGCTTAGTGTAGTCAGTAGGCATTGGCTGGACCTTGGTGAAATCTGGGCCTTCAGTCCCCACATGAGGCAGTGGTGCGAGGAACATTGACAAGTATTGACTTGAGTGGCTGTTTGGGGCTTCCTTTCATGAGAATCATGGTTTTGGAGGTCACTGATTATTAGAGAAAGATTTAGGTCATTCTGGAAAATGGACCTGTAGGCAGCAGAGAAATCTCAGTTCCTGGGTGATTCCTTAGGGTTTCGGTGGCCCCAATAGACCGTAATTTCAAATGTCATTTGTTTCAACAATAACATCATAGCTGGAACTCACGGCGAGTTAAGAATAAACACAACATTGTAAATCAACTATACTCCAATAAAAATTTAAAGAAAAAAGAATAAATGGTTAACTTCTGAGTTGGTGTTTTGTTTGTTGTTGTTGTTTGTTTTTTAGTGGTAGTGCATATCTGTTTT